ACTCATTTTCTGCACCGCTGGACAAATAAATCCTTTAGAAATGATAACAGGTGAATTCCTGGAGTGTGTTACGTTCTGTCCACCACAGTAAAAGTGAACCTATGATGAAAATAAAGACCTCTCATGTGTTTAAGTAGGACTATTACACATCAGTGGCTGCCAGATACATTTTTGCTCCATTGTAGGTTTTGGTTCAACACAGACACACCAACCAGCTCATTTATGCATGCAGGAATGATCAAGGTCTGTGGAACCATTTTGTCCTTTAGGTGATCTTAATAAATAGTTCACCTGATGACTGCAGGAGAAAGTCAACACAACAATTATGAACTACGAGTGATGTTAAGGTGATCCAGTGCAGCAGGGGTGGGGAATGCTGGTCCAGGGGGCTGTGCCAGAAAGCGAGCTGGTCCCAAAAGCAGGCTCTTTTGAAAATCCTGGTTTAACTGCCCCAACGTGGCGAGCCTGAAGCCCCTCCCATTCACCAAGGTAACACATGCTGGAGAACAAACCTGCTCTGCGGCAGGCTAGCAGATAGGCTTGTTGACGCTTAGCGAATATGATTGGACGAGGTAAGTGACATCACCTTTTTCTTGTTGGTGACTGGCAGCTGCAAGGTGGTGAATTGGTGCCACCGCTGTCCCGCAGCAGCAGCTGCAGCTTTGTTCCTGGTAGCGTGAGTCTAACTCACGTACTTTACAATAAAGCCGATTCTGAAATATCTTCAGACGGTGTACTTTAGGAAAGAATTCCTTTTATTCAAGTTCATGTAGATTTGTTCATTACAGAGGTCTGTCCTCAGCAGCATAGACATGGAAGAGTAGACACCACGCTGATACCCATATCTACTTTGTATGTACTTGTATGGTTAACAGGATGTTTTGGCTAAGGCTTTAGCTCCGTGCAGATCTGGAGCTCTCACACTGGTAGAGGACCGTTCACACGCCAGAATGAGAGCTCACTTTATTGTTCAGACAAAAATACGTGCCAAAACAACCTTTTCCCCGTTTGATAATAAGCGCTTTCTTTGTGTCAAAACGCATCTTTTTGAAATTCACGGACATCATGTGTGAAATCCATGGCACATGAATTAGAAAATAGCGTTTTTAGCCCCGTTGGTCCGGAAGTAGATGGGCGTGACTCAGGCTCCCTATGATGAGTATTAAACTTGTGTTGTATAGTTCCCGCTGTCCCGTCTGATATTTAAAGGGACTTAACGGACTTTTGAATTTTTATGCTCGCGATCGCCCCCTCAGGCCAAAAGCGTAACGGCAGCTTCAATAGTAGGCTCGTGCACGAGGCGCGCATGCTGTACGTGCACACTCCTTAACGAAAATAACAGCTGAGACAGTCCCTTGTGTGTGTGTGTGTGTGTGTGTGTGTGTGTGTGTGTGTGTGTGTGTGTGTGTGTGTGTGTGTGTGTGTGTGTGTGTAATACGCATTAGGTGCAATACTTGTTTTTAGAGGGATGTGCGATATGACCTATGGGTTATGTGGTGTATGATTATTATGGGCTGGGAGTAGTGTGTCTGTATGCAGTCAACAGAACAATGCCGTCATGCTGTTTCACAGGACCGTTGGACATAATGGTACTAGACAGTACTAGACATGCATCAGCTTAAACACAGCTCTGATGTACTTTGGCTTAAGATTTTCAAAAATGCAAAAATGGCAACTTACTTTAAAGTAAAGCACCAAATCTCTGCAGGTGATTTTCACACCTCCAATTTCTTTCTCCACCAGGTTTTGAGGAGAAAGAAGAGCAGGAACGAGGTTCAACAGCTCCTTCTTAAACTCGTCATCAATATCTGGAAGGAAGGAAACCATAAGCTCTGATAAACGTAACTCTGCTGTTCTCAGACGCTTCAACAGTAAACGGAAACGCTGCCATCGGGAAACGGAATGTTTTCCTGATCAGCCCAAGAGGGCAAAGACAGAGCGGTGTTGGCACCCTACCTGAAACAGGCCAAATACACAACGCTTTCATGTACATTTTATGAAGAAAGGCAATAAAACATTTATTTACGTGTGTAATCAAGAGCAGTCCTGCTTTAGAGCTTCACCTTTGAGCCGGCCATCAAAGTGAGGGTTGGTGGCCACTCTGAGGCCAGGATGTGGAAGCAGGAAGCAGCAGATGTTGGAGAAGCAGGAGCGGATGTGTTTCCGGACATTTTGTAGCTCTTCATGTTGGTTCGGTTTGACCTGAAACAAAAGTGGTCCGTTCAAGATCCAGAAAGCTCCGTTGATGTCAGACGTGGTCAGACACAAGTGAACACAAAGCAGCATTATTGGAAATGTTCAGACACCTTCTGCTGCTTCTGATCTTGGACCACACCTGTGCTTCTGCTTGAACTTTTGGTTCAGCCTTACATCGCGTATTCACAAACATCCCAGGAGAAAAATAAAATGGCATGAACCCCATCAGTCCAGGTTCTGGAAGATTTCAGAACCGTTAGGAATCCAAATCCCACTCTTAGTTTTATAAGCTCAGGTTTAAATGTGTATTTTTTACCTTTATTCTCTGGAAACATCCATCAAAACGTTGTTAAAACTGAATAAATGTTGTCTGCTTGCTAACAAAGTCCAGTCTAAAGCACACAGGGCGCGGGGCTAGCATGTTTGGGGGACGCCGTGTTAGATGCCATGTTTCCTTCTGGCTGGCTGGAGGACTTGCGCCTGTTGATGACATCACACTGGATGATTGGCTGGACATACGAATTGCGAGGGTTACGTCACCATGTTCAAAAACATTTAGCTAGTAAGAAACTTGAATTTAATAACAAGACTACAAAACATCTTTTGTACGTTAGGACTGGTAGCTAACTCCACTTACTTCACATACGACAACACAATATACAAACAACTGGAAGGCTTCGCCATGGGTAACCCGTTATCAGCCACCCTGTGCCAGTTTTTCATGGAAGACCTGGAACAAAAAGCCGTAGCCACCGCCCCCCCAAACTGCAAAATAAAACTATGGAAACGCTACATGGACGACATACTGGCGACATAGGGGCGACGTGGGCACAGGAGTTAAGAGCTCGCCCCGTAATCGGAAGGTTGCAGGTTCGAGTCCCGCTCAGTCTGTCGCTGTCGTTGTGTCCTTGGGCAAGACACTTAACCCACGTTACCTGCTGGTGGTGGTCGGAGGTACTGGTGGCGCCAGTGCTCGGCAGCCTCGCCTCTGTCAGTGCGCCCCAGGGCAGCTGTGGCTACATCGTAGCTCATCCCCACCAGTGTGTGAATGGGTGAATGACTGATTGTGTTGTAAAGCGCCTTGGGGGGTTCCAGGACTCTAGAAGGCGCTACATCAAATACAGGCCATTTACCATTTACTGGAAATCATACCAAAAGGACAAACAGAAACACTAACACAACACTTGAATAACATTGACGACACGGGCAGCATAAAGTTCACTTATGAGTCAGAAACAGAAGGCAGCATAGCTTTTATGGACATGAAAATCACCAGGCAGACCGACGGGACCCTAAACATAAACACATACAGGAAACCAACACACACAGACCAATATCTATTATGGACATCAGAACACCCCACCATACACAACATGTCAGTAATCAGAACATTATATCACCGAGCAAACATAATAACAGAAGAGAGAGACCGTAAACAAGAGGACAAACACATACAACACGCTTTAAAGACCTGCGGATACCCGACATGGGCAATAAACAAAGGAAAACAACAAACAACAACAGAAAGAAAAGAACAACAGAAAGAAAAGAACCAGAAACCCAGAAAGACAAGAACCAAAACCAGTGATAACCCTACCATACATCAGAGGCATAACGGAAAAAATAAGAGCAACAATGAAAAAACACAACATAAACACACCAACAAAACCATACACAACAGTTAGAAACAGACTAGTACACCCAAAAGACAAAATATCAGCTGGACGTAAATGTGGAGTCGTTTACGAAATCCCATGCAAACTCTGCAACAAAACATACATAGGAGAACCCGGACGCCAACTCAACACACGGACAATAGAACACAGAAAGGAGTGCGAGAAAGAAACAAGTCGAAAACACACAAGAGCAGCAAAAGAAGAAGCAGAAAGCACAATAAAGAAGTCAGCCGTAACAGATCATTGTTTAAGAGAAAACCATATAATGGACTGGGACAACACACGGATCATCACCACCGAACAACAAAAATACAAAAGATGGATCAAGGAAGCAATCGAGATAAGGAGACGTGGATGTGGGACCATGAACAGAGACGATGGGGTTTACTCATTAGATCGTGCGTGGGACTGCATCGTCGGAGAGGGGAGAGCGGGCAGCAGAGGGCGACAACGTCCTCTGCTGCCCGCGGATAAACGAAGGAAGTGACGCCGCCATCGGAGTCAGCCTGAGGAAGTTTGCAGCCGCAAACGAAACCGTCAGCAAGGTAAAGAAAATCCTTTTCTGTGTTTAAAAACGAACCAAAAATGGAAAACTATTTCCAAAAACTATGTGAAAGAACAAAGTTAAAAAAGATGCTAAATATTTTGGCTGAGCAGTATTGGCTTAGTATGATGACATCATCGGCAGGCGCAGGACCCCGAGCAGATCCGGGAACTACAATCGGCATTGCGTGGATTTAACTGAAGGACCATCAAAGTCTGAGAAGTCACACCGAAGTTGCGGGCTTTCTGCTCCACAGGTAACAACATTTACTGTAATGTTTTTTAAAGTAGTGACAGGCACGGCCGTACGGTGGAAAACTACCCCGAAATGTAAATACTGCCCCCTAGTGCCAGGAAACCACACACGTCTCTTTAAGCTGGAGATGTTGCCATCACCGCTTTGTTGTTAGCAGACCACATCAGCACCTAATGCTCGGGTTCGGGTCTGCATCACTACATCCTCACGCTGCTGGCGCCAGAGCCACTGACGGCTGGACCCTGACGTGTGGGAGGAAATCACCGTCCTAACAGATCGGCCTGCGTGTTCATGGTCCAGGCCACTGGAAAAGCCATGGGCATGATGGTGCATTAGGAACGAGCACGATGGCTCAACGCCACCACCCCCTCTGACAGAGGTAGGACATCCTGGACATGCAGATTGTGTCCGATGGTCTTTTGGGCTCTGCAACAGCAATGCGAGACAAAGCGCCCCAAAAGGACTGCTGTTGCCAGGCTGCAAGCTGGGCCACCTTGGGCAGCTGCCTCACCCCGCTCCTTCTCCTGGCCCAGTCGTTTGAGCACAAAAATCCAGCACACCATCTAGCTAGCCAGCAAGAAGCCCACACAGCCCGGCGGTCAGGTCCGGAATGAGAAGAGAGCATCCTGATGCTGCCCTTGCAGCCTGCTGATAGCTGGTAGTTCCCCGTTTGCCTCTACATGGTGCTTCTCCTCTCTCCCCACAGCTCCCAGCCCGCCCGGAGGACGATGGAGACATCAACCGGTTTGCTCCAGCTCAAAACAAATGTCACAAGAACACCGTGTGCCACAAAAATTTACAGTTTGCCGGAACTTCTCACAGTCCTTCTGGTCCCGAGGCACTTCCTACCATTTCTCTCTGGTCTTTAAGTTTCAGTGAGAGAATGATAAATGACCCGCGCTTGTATAGCGCCTCTCAGAGTAAGGACCCCAAGGCGCTTTACACTACAGTGTATCATTCATCCATTCACACTCTGATGGTGATGAGCCACAGCTGCCCTGGGGCGCACTGACAAGAGGCGAGGCACTGGCGCCACCCATCCCTCCGACCACCACCAGCAGGCAAGATGGGTTAAGTGTCTTGCCCAAGGACACAACAGCAAAATTCTCTGACTGGGATCGAACCTGCAACCTTCCGATTACTGGACAACCCGCTCAACCTGTGGAGCTACTGCTGCCCCTGACTGGTTCTAAATGATGGAAGTGATGGCACCATCACTGTGGCGTCAATAAACCACCGGGGTGGGGCAGCACTGATCTCTCTCCAGTTTCACGTTGGCACAGACTGATCTGGTGGCGCAGCAGGCCTTTGCTCTCCATCAGTGGCACCCACGTCCCAGGTGTCCTGGATGGGATGGACCTGCTGTCCAGAGGAAGTCCCCGACTAGCGTCTGCATCCAGCAGATCTAGACCCAGTTCAGCAGTTCCAGACCTGTTTGCCTCCAAGCAGAATGCCTCTTTCTCCATAAGAGACCAAGATGCTTTGCTTGGTGTGGATGCCCCGGTGAAGGAGTGGCCGCCGGAACTGCTTTACCCGTTCCCCCATCTCCCCGATACCCCCCACCTTGCTCAGGGTGGGGATTCATTTGGGTGGCTCCTCACTGGCCTGCCATGCATTGGTTGGTGGACATCTTTCAGCTCTTGGAGGACCAACCTGCTGATCTACTGGGATTTGAACCCACAGCCATCTGTAGGGTTTACAGAAACCGGTCCGACTGGTTCTAAATGATAGAAAGACAATAGCTCAAGACAGCTCTGGGTCCTACAAAGGTTGGCAGAACAGCACAGCGACGCTGGGCAAATTGATTAAGTGAATTAGGAGTTTAATGCTGTGAAAGCAAAGAATTAGGCTGCGGGAACAAAACTCACCTGCAGTCGTTTCTCCAAGAAGCTCCGCCCTCCCTCCAACCCATACGGATGCTCATAGGGATAACTCCAGTCTCGAACCAGGAACATCAGAGTCTGACAACAGAGGATGACCATCAACATGATACTCCTGGTCAAACTGACACCCCCCCAACCTAATGGCCAACACAAAAGTGAAGGCATTTGATGCTGTATGAAGAAGGAGGGGTTTCTACCCAGCTTAGTTAGCCAAAGAGTTGATCGGACGTTCAAATCTTAAGAGTGGGAAAGCTGATGGAAAAGTTAAAATGAAAGGCTGAAGTGTGCTACCAGCTAACAGTGCACCAGGTCTTTCCTCACATCATCTAGCTGTATGAGATAAGAAGCCCACCTGGAAGGGTTTCTCACAGACTTCCTTCATAGCAAGTCGTCCATACTCCGTGAAGAGCTGAGGACAGAAAGCATAGGACCTTATCTGAGTCTGCATAACTTCCACAACATAAACAGGAGTAAGTGGCTATCTGACTCAAACAGTCCTAATGAACTGCAGCAGCAAACAGTCGTCTTATATCGAAGGTGGAGGTGGATTAAGCTGCCTCAGTTAAAAACCATGAACACATTTCTAAGTCCCAGGATGTGACTTGGACCAGTGAGGTTCTGACCGACCTTCTAAAGACAATAACACTATCACCAGCACCAGAGAGGATGCCAAGCTCTCCTTTGTTGAAACTTGTCTGTAAAAGGACCAAACATGGAAGAGAGAGCTCCTGTTTCTGGTCCCTTCTGGGTTCAGATTCAAACGGCTTAATCCTGCCCTGACCAGCTCACCAACACCAAATATGGAGCTCTGACACGGTCACAACAAAGACTTAAAGCTCCAAAGGTCACCAAAAAAGGACAATGACGACAAGCTGGGTGAGATGGTGCGGTTACTCACGAATAAAGAAACATAAACAGTCTCCTTCGGTGTGGAGCTCCACGTGAGACCTGCCCTGGTGGAGTTTCACCGATAATGAGAACAGGGAAACCAGCCCAGAAGTCAGGAGGAACTTGTCCATGATCAAGGCAGCTGGGACACACTACCCCATGAAGGAGTGAGTGCCCCAAGGCCCCCCTGCTGAAGAAAACCCAGGTCCAGGCCCATTTCAGGAGTATCGAGTGAGAGTGCCGGGGTCCAATGAAACCAAAACCCAGCTCTTCAGCATCAACTCGATCAGCCATGCTTGGGCAAGGAGCAGGGGCGGCGTTAGGCCCGGCTACTTGGGCTGAAGCCCTGAATGTTTTATGAAAAGCCCCGTATCTAAATCGCAGAAGTAACATGCAGTACCAAAGTCCAACAGAGAGGGAGCAGCTGGCAGTAGTTTGTATACAGCCTGCCTGAGCCTCCACCACTGAAGAAGAAGCCCTTCAGCAGCCGGCTTCTTCTACACTCTCTGCCTGAAACGCATGAGTGAAGATGGACATAAGGACGTTTTTTAGACCAAAAGTACGGCGACAGAACCCCAGCTTTGATGAGACTGGTGCTGACTCAGGTTTGTGAGTCTTATTAGAAAATATTTGTTGTGCTGCTGGTTTGCCTAAAGTTAGCTTATCAGGTAAAGTTGTTGGAGAAAGAAAGGGAATATTTACTATCATCTCACACTAAACACTAACAGGAACAATACTCTGCCCTGAAAACGCTGAATATGTAGCTTCAGATTAAAAACTATGTGGTACAAGACATATATGATGTTGACTAGTGCGTGTCACGTGTGTGTGTGTGCGCGCGCGTTAAGCCCCGGATCTTCTTCAGTCCTAAATCCGCCCCTGGCAAGGAGGAACGCTGCCTGTGACAAAGACCAACCCCCCCCCCCCGTGTCTGACCTCCATGAGTCACCACCAAGTCCGAAAGCACGTTTAGCAAAGGAATCAAATACTTCTTTCCTTCATGAAAATGTGGAATGTGCTGGTTACCGTTCCATCTCCCGGATCTAAAAACCCTACCACTGAGGTTAGAGACTGACCATTTCTTTGTCAGCAAGGGTTCAGACGACGTTTTCCTGACCGTAAACAACAACAACAACAACAACAACAACGTAGCGCTTCTGACCTGGAGGTGCTGAAGATCATCCTCCTGGAGGTTTTGGGATAGATTGTACACCTGAAAAAGACCAAATATGACACCTTCCTGGTTATTAACATCATCATCGGAGTAGAAGCTTCAGGGTGGTTTTGCACTCAGAATGGTGTGTAAACGACTCCCGTCTCACCAACCAGAACTAAACACCAGACGTTTTCTGTCTAGCCTCTTCTCGAACACAATGTTGTCAAATTGCCACAGTGCTGAAGTGGCATCAGGGAGCTTTAGGTAGTCGGTCAGACCGGGGCGGAGACGTGGCGTGCCCTTTTTACCAAAAACCCCTCGATGGCAGTCTAAGAGGGGGTATGGGGGCAGTCTCTGTGCTGCCGCGGACTTCTGTTTATCTTGGAGCTAACGTGCTTTTTATTACGATCAAAGCCGCTCTTGTTACATTTTTTTTAACAAACTGCTCCTTAAGGTTTCCGTCCTCCACACTCCCCGTGCAGTCTCTGGTGATCTGACCTCCGTCTCTAATGGGGAGAAAGCTCCTGGAGCTCTGCATCACTCCAGTTCATCATCTCAGCTGGTTCTGTTAACGAGAGCAAAACTTACGAGCCGCGTTTACTTTCATTTTCAATAGTTGCCAAAGGACTCGGCAGCAACTCCCCACGTGACCACGACACCTCCCTCTGTTACACCAAGACACAATTCATTCACAAGTCAGGCATATTACTACTATTAATATTACTATGAAGCATGGCGGCACGAATGCTGCAAAATTCCCACAATGCCGTGCCGCCACAGTGCGTTCATAAGACACTGTGGCGGCAGCATTACGCTAATTTGCCGGCACGGCGTGTCTTCTAGAAAAGGGCTTCTGTTACAGGCAAACCATGACTGGGTCAGAACGACGCATCACAGCAAACAAATGCTGACATTAATTATTATAATGATGAGTCAGCTTCTAAATATTACACCTATTTATAGAGCATGCCCACGGTGGTGTACATCAGTGGTTCCCACCCTGGGGTCATGACCTCCCTCGTGGATAAAGGTTGGGAACCACTGATGTGCATGGCCACTAGAAACAAACACACGAGTATAAACATCCAAATATTAAAAAGGTCAAGTTCAAAGCAACCGACAGAATAATAAACGTTATACCAGAGTCACGCAGCAGGTGTGGAGGAGTGACTCCAACCACACAGAGCTAAAGGACAGCCTTTTCTCCCCTAAAAGAGCTTTAATATAAGGCAGATTAGTCAGAGTTCATCAAGTCAACAGAAAAAGAAATGCACAGTGACATTTCAGCGGGACAATCAGCCCTCAGTAACCCCGGCTTTCCACAGCAGCCGTCAGCAGCACGTTACTGCAGCAGCACGTCATAGCTGCTGATAGGAACCGCTGTGGTCAACAGAACCTTTTCCACTGGAGCCGTCAGCAGCGCGAGTCGGCCGCGTCTCAGGAGCAGCATGTCGCGGCCTTTACGCGCCGGTTCTATTTTCTACACGCGACGCCTCTGAAACGGGTCAAGTTCGACATTTTTGGGGAAGGAAAGACAGGAAATAGGACGCGGAAATGGAGAGAAGCTCCCGAGATTTTCAGAATAAAGAACGTACTGCCTTCCGGTTGCTTTACTTTTAAAAAAAAGGTTACTAACTGTGCGTCCCCGTGAGAAGTTATCGCCTAGCTAGCGGTCTCCTTTGTTTTTCAGGTCCGTATTGGCGATTATAAAACGGACAGAACATAAAACACAAACCATGTTGTAGTTTTCTCCTGCTTGTTGTTGTGTTTACTGACGAAGTCACTCGTGTGACTCCGTGCTCCGTCGGTGACAGCTGCTCCCCTGCTGCTTCGCGTCTCGTGGGAAGGGCCAAGCAGCAGCTTACGCGAGCAAGACGTGCTGCTGCAGTAGCGTGCTGCTGACGGCTCCCGTGGAAACCCGGGGTAAGAGAAGCCTGTGAATCTTTAAATCTCAGTTATAGTTGCCAGCCTCACACTTGTCGTGAAGAAAGAAACTCCTCTGAGACAAAAGGGTTTCACAAGGATCCCAATAGACTGTCACACCAACTATAGCTTTAGATCCTGCTGGTGTCCCAAGTGGCTCAATGACGACGGACACGTTCTACATGGCAACACTTTATTATTTCCACGCACTAAACAAGTCTCGTGTTTTCACGTGGACCCGTTAGCACGCGTGTTCCTGGTCAATCCCGCTGAACTAGCTAGCTGAATGTCTGGGCTGCTGAATCCTGTTTGCATTATGAAGGTAGTTAAAACATCCCAGATGTGTACCGTGATCCCACTCAGTGACTCCATCCATGCTTTCCACAGAGCAGGAGTCATCATTTAACCGTTTACACATGTACGGGTAACAAGCCCCTTCATGGGACTCTGCTGATGATCACCTGGACTGAACTGGTCATGGTGCTCAGGGCGAACAGCGTAGCACACTCTCTAATAGTGGACTGGCTGTCAAACGCCCCCTGTGTGTCCATCAGCAGAACTGCAACCTACAGAGGAGAACAAACAAACTGCTGTTGGATTGACGTTGACCAGTGAAGAGGGTCCACCCCGTCACACGGTGGTAGAACACAACAGAAACGTTCTTTAAAAGGAAGTGGGAACCAACCTTACTGCCATCTGGTTTCTCCATCACAAACACCTCGCTCCAGGCCAGGATCCCCGTGGTTTCCCTCTCGCAGCCGCCCCGCCACGTGAAGCCGGTCAGAGGCTGCTCCTCACCCCCAACCCAGGAGTCAGGTGACTAGAGAAGAACACGTCGTCCGGTCTTGATGCAATTTTAGAGAACCTCAAACTTTTAAATCAAGTGTTGCTCACATAGAATAAAGGTGACGATTGGTCTTTTACGTTATTTCCCAACATCAGGATTATTCTGAAAACGCTGGATGGTTCAAAACATTTTCCGTGTGTAAGCTAATCATTTACACGTGCATTAAATTACTTTCATAGTGCAGCTATTAACCAACCAGCAGGATGGTTCACAACTAAACTGAACCATTAAAAGCTGATCAGTAAGCAAAAGCACTGATGGATGTCCACACGGGACCTGGAGAAACCCATCTCCAGCAGGCTGGGCTACTGCAGCTCATTCAGGACGCTGCCGACCACCGACTACATCTCCAGCAACAATCTAAAGCACACTTACTGCTCATTTTCTCTATGAAGACCAAACAGCAGCGAGACGCTGACCCACCTCTGCAGAGGTTTCAGCATTAGCTCAAACCGACCTAGCAGGTTTCAACTCTGCTCGTTCCAAGAATAATTCTGGTCTTTGAGTTTGTTGTTGAGGCCCGGCCACAGAGGTCACACTGTGCTGACCTGAAATCCTCTTTAAAGCAGAACGGCTCCAGAATGTCCACTATAGGATGGAAGTTTTAGGCCGCCTTGTTAATCTTCAGGATTTTCCTGTAAAAGTTGTTGGTTGTTGCAATAAAACATTCAGTTAAACATCATATTACACTCACCTGAAGGCTTGTTAGGACCACCACACTAATATGGCGTTTGACCCCCTTTCACCTTCAGAACTGCCTTAATTCTACGTGGCGTTGACTCAACAAGGTGCTGAAAGCCTCATTTAGGAATGTTGGTCCATGTTGGTAGGATAGCATGCTGCAGTTGATGGAGATGTGTGGGACGCACATCCAGGGCACGAAGCTCCCGTTCCACCACCTCTGATTCTGGATGCATTTCCCTTTTCACACCATTCTTTGTAAACCCTAGCAATGGTTGTGGGTGAAAATCCCAGTAACTGATCAGATTGTGAAATACTCAGACCGGCCCGTCTGGCACCAACAACCATGCCTCGCTCTAAACGGCTTAAATCGCCTTTCTTTCCCATTCTGACCTTCAGTTTGGAGTTCAGGAGACGGTCTAGACCAGGACCACACCCCTAAATGCATTGAAGCACCTGCCCTGTGATTGGTTGTTTAGATACTTGCATTAAGGAGAAGTTGAACAGGTGTTCCTAATGATCCTTTAGGTGAGCGTAGGAGACACACAGTGTCTCCTTACGGGATTCAGTAATTGTTTGAACTGAACTAGACGGGTGCATAAATTCGGGCATTGTTGTTATTTTACTGATTCCAAAACCTTTAGAAATAATTATAGGAACTCAAAATTGGTTTGGTAAGCTCACTGACCTTTGACCTCCAGACACAAGTGAGAAAGAGTATTTAGGGGGGCCAGTTGTAAGTTTCCCTCCTCTTTAATGTTCTCTGAAGAGCAGAACAACTCTCACACGAGCTGAAAACAAAGATGGGTCACCATCCTGGATCGGGGGAGGGGTCTCCAACACGTCCGGTAGGCGCTCGCCTGCAGCAGCCAGAGAGCCGTCCTGCCCGACTTGTAATTAATGAGGGGCGGACTTTAAACGTAGGCCAGCCATCCCCATTTTTTGTAATATCTCATCTAAAATTAGCATTTTGTGGAAGTAAAGTAAAAATCTGATTACAGTATAAATCTTTCAGCAAACATGTTCTAATGGAAATACGCGGACCACTTGCTCCGATTGCAGAACAGATCCCCGTTTGTGACCTCAGCAGCTGCAGGTGGAAGAAGATGTGCTTCTAATAAGACAGAGTGGCGTTGGTTATACAGACCTGGTTTCAGAAGAACTCACCTAAACCATCGGAGTGACTAAAGCCCAATCCGAGGTAACAGCTCGCCAACGCAGATGCCGTTTGTTCATGAACACGTGATGACCTGCCAAACTCTGGACATCTCCTGTGATTTAGTTTCAACAAATTTCCCTCAACAGTAATAAATCATGATTTTGAAATCTCTCACTTTTCCGTTCAGCGTCGTGCAACAGACTCGCGGATCAGCTGGTCCAGAGCCAGAAGGATAGACCTCCAATCTGATTTTAATACTGTCAACAAAAAAACGCGGCAAAGCATCATTTTACCCGCAGTTGTTGAAGCAAAACTTCACTTTCATGAGCAAAACCCCATAAAAATGATGAAATGAAAGAAGTGTTTTGTCCGTTTTTACATGTTTCACTTTAGTTTAGATCATTTAGAATCGTGTGTTCATCACATTTAGCTTGTATGTTTTATAAATTCAGCTTTATTCATTTTATGAGAATTTAATTACCTGAAAGGTTTGTATTAAAGGCCATTTTAAAAGGCATTCTATAGTTTTTTGAAGTTTTTGTTCATTGGTGACTAAATAGCTGCTGTTGCTGCTTGGAGCAGGGCCCAGGGTCAGGGACTGAACAGGAGCAGGTCAGCTGTAACTCCAAGTGTTTTATCGCAACAACCAACAATTTCATCAGGAAAATCATGAAGACTAACAAGGCTGCCCAACCGTCCTCATCCCACTAGAGCTGCAACAACTGATTATTTGGATCATTGATGAATCTGATGGGGTCTCGACTCGATTAATCGGATTAAATGGGAAAATTAAAAAACTTCTAGGGAAACATTTTTCTCTCATTTCTTTGCTTTAAAGTGACAATGTGTAGTTTTTTACCATTAATCTCTGGAAATATCCATTGAAATGTTGTAAATGATTGAAAAGATGCCCAGTTAATGAAAAATATTTGCAGTTTCATAACAAATAACCATAAAATTTGTTTTAAAATACAAGGAGCGGGTCTAAGTCTCTGGGTGACGCCATGTTTCCTTGTATGGAAGGCCATGAGGACAAAACACATTTACTGATTTGTAACAAATGGTTACAAAACTTTCACCAATAATTAACATTTAGTTTTACAAATTTATCTATTCACTCGTTGCCACTAATAAGAGAATCTGATGTTCTTATTTTGCTGGAAGTTGCGCTCCCAGGGATTTTTGACTCTAATGGCCATCCATTGGTAACGTCTTACTTGAACACAAAAATAATGCTTGCTTTCAATGATTTAGGTAAGTACTGCCCCCTATCGCCAGGGACAATACACACTGTCACTTTAACAACAGAACATGGTTAGAAAACTGCTCATTAATGTGCAAAACAACATGCCATCACCTACATATATCCATAGTTAAACAATGATCAGAACATTTTTATGTATTTCATTAGCATGCTCAGTGGTAGCAACTGGAAATGCTAACAACATTTATTTTCTGCTGCTAAAATATAATGGTGACTAGTAATGTACGAAAATATCGACATAGCAATATGTTGCGATATACTTTCCTGCGATATTACATCGATGTTCAAAAGCTGTGTATCGCTTTTTTTGGAAGAATTTACGTGCAAACATTTGTGTATTTTCTTTTCTTTTGGTGCAAATCAAATGCCGTCCGCTAGTCAGCAGCAGGGTTGTCACGGTGTGAAAATGTAACCTCACGGTTATTGTGACCAAAATTTCCACGGTTTTCTATATTATCGCAATATTTTTTTTAAACGTGCTACATTTTCACACAATTAAATAAACCCTGTATGTCAGGAAATATTGTCCTCAGTTTGTGTCTAAATTTTGCCTAAAATGTGTTATTTTGTATTTATGTTGTTTATTTGTTTACATTTTTTCCCTTTAGTCTTTAAAATACCAATATTTGCCCATAACTTCTTATTTTTTGTCTGTTTGATGTCATCATTTTAAAATATTAGACCAGATGATACTCAGTACTCAAGTAGCCTTCTAATCAGATACTTTTTTACCCTTACTTGAGTAATAAACCCTATATCAGGAAAGTATCGTCCTCGGTTTGTGTCCTTCCAGTGAGCTTTGCAGATGTGGGAAAATGTCATCAGGCAGTAATCGTTGTTAAATTCATAATTCTTCTCGGAGAGAGACCAACTCTTATCTGCCCCTGGGAGCCCCGTAATGCATAGCGTCATTTCAACATGACGGTGTTCGCGACACGGTTTATATGCAGGTAGCGGCGCTGCGGCTGCTTTATATAGCGACTCGTTGCATTCTCCCTCCACCCAAATCCTCGGATCACGCATTTTAGCTAAAGCGCTAACGTTAGCTTGCCTTGCGTTGACTGTAGAGTTGTGGGTGATGGTCACGCAGATGTGTCATGAGATTTGAAGCGTTGCTGCCTTTCACAGACACTTTTTCTGCTCGTGCTGCAAACAGGATAGCCGTCTGCTATCAGCTGTCCCTCGGCATTCTTCAAATATCCAAAAGATGCCCGTACTTCCCACTTTGTCTTCTTTGAGGGATAATAAATGTCCTGAGCGCTGCCGTCTCCTCCTTTGACCATTATTTCAGCTTTAGCTTCAAGAAAGTTTTGGTTGTAAACAACAAAGTGCGCGTGTGCCGCCGGCAACTTCAGCAGATGATACGGTGGCTGGTAAGGGTCACCGCGCCTACACCGCAGCCACGGTAATCCCACCGAGATAATATAGTTTTTTTTTAAACAAGACGGTTATTATTATTGTCAACTTTTTTACCGGGGTTTACTGCTACACCGGTTACCGTGACAACCCTAGTAAGCAGTAGTGTGCAATGGAGTTTTGTTTCCATCACTGAAATGTAAATCCCTCTATTATGGTTCAGATACCTCATGTTAATCATGTTAAGTATCAGTTTGGACCATTTATTGAATTTTCCTACAATAATTTTAGTCTAAAAAAAAAATCGCTAATATCGTCCGACTGAATATATCGCAATATATCGTGATATATCGTATCGCCTCCCCTGTATCGTGATAAGTATCGTATTGCCAGAATTTCACCAATACACATCCCTAATGGTGGCATATCTATTAAGTACTGGTTAGCAATAATCCAGTTTCAACTATGTTCATAGATAGACGCGTTGGTGAATTACATGCTACAGTGGCTTGCCGTATTCGTGCAGCGGTGTTGAGCAGAGTCGACTCGAAGCAGCAACCTGACTGCAGTGGTTCTGCTGCGTAGCGCTGCAGACAGCTAAATGAACAGGCTGATGGGGACTTTTCTTCTAATTGTAGAGTCTAGATCAGGGGTGTCAAACATGCGGCCCGCGGGCTGGATCCGGCCCGCAAGCGGGTTAAATCCGGCCCGCGAGATGGTTGTGTAAACTTTATTTTCATACTTTACAATGTAGAGTGAAAACAAACTTATCTTTGTGAGCAAGTTTTCTCTGTAATGAGTATAAATAAACCAAAGCTGCGCTCAAGGCTCACACAAGAACTTGAATCACATCCTGAAGTTGGCCGCCACTCAGGATGTGACTTCTGATGTTGATGTGCTGGTGAAAGCTAAAAGATGTAAAGTAAAATGAGTCAAATATACTTTAAGTGGTGCATGAAACTGATCCAGCCATGTGATCTGTAAGCTCTTTGAATCTTCAGGTGTTGTACTTGTACTACACTGTCCTCAGGCTCCAGCCTTGTTTTATATGGATTGTATTAAAACAAAGAAAACACCGGTCCGGCCCACTTGGGACTAGATTTCCCTCAATGTGTTCCCTGAGCTAAAATGAGTTTGACACCCCTGATCTAGACGTTCTTGGGCTACGTTCACACTGCAGGCAAAAGCACATCAAATCCGCTTTCTGCCTCTGTGCACAGCACCTAGATTAGCACACAGTAAAAAGCATCTTCTTGGCACAATAACAAGCAACTTAACTTTGTTCAATAAAGTTCTGGGGAAAAGTAACTTTAAAAGATGTTGCACGAGCGCAGCGTCTGAACATAGTTTATAAAGTTTTTGTCATTGCGCGTGCGACACACACACCTCTCTAGTTCCGCTCTGCTGCCGCCTACAGATGAGCTGTGTGCATTGATTGTTACATAAAGGTTGCACAACACAATAAACTGATGACCAAATGTGTTGCCAACGCATTTCTCCATCGATTTTTATCCATTTTATTAATCGCTGTTGCAGCCCTACATCCCACTGTGTGTCACAAAACAAGGGCTTCAGTAGAGATCACAGACAAGCAGCTCTGAGAGCGAGAGCAGTAGGGAGTTGAACCGACTCGTGAATCTTAGCATACCTGTCTGTACATGTAGCGCAGCATGAAGTCCAGCAGGAACGATTTGCCTTTGCGAAAAGCTCCAGCCACTGAGACGACCACCACATTGAGGTCCTGCACCTCCTCACGCAGCAGCAGCCGCTCCAGTGCCGCCTCCTGCAGCAAGAAAGAGTGCTCCTCTTCATCAGCCACCACAATCTGCACAGGCCGGGCAGTGCCGAGCTCCTCTTCATCCTGAAGGTCATCAACCCCTTCGTTTCTCGGATGAGATCTGTCTGATTTAAAGCCATAACCACCTGGAAGAAATTCAGAGAAAGGACTCGTGTAGAAATGCTGCACACTCGGGTCCAGCTGAGTGGGGGTGGGGTGACCCCAACACATCACTTAATGAACTCATTCAGTTTAAACCAACGCTGCGCTCTCTTTCACACATTCATAACCTCCACGCTGGGCTGCTGTAATTCACCGATGCAGGGACCAGCCAAGCTGCCGTCAGCTGCCAGACTTCTGACTACTGCCGTTTGAGCATCCCTTCGTTGGCTGCCTCTCACTTGCTGAATTAGCTTCAAACTCCTTGTTTGCCTTAAAATCTCTACACAACATCGCCCTTCGGTATTTGGCTGATGTGATCCACCGATAAGCTCTATCGCGTCTCCTTTGGTCAGTGGAGCAAGGTCGGGTGGCAATCCTGAGGCACTGATTCAGTTCTAGCTGCGATCCGATGGAATGACCTCCTGCCAAGTGTCAGACAGGAACACTCGCTCCACAATTCCAGTCCAAAGAGTCATTTTTGCTGCTAACATGCTAACAGTCTTCCGTTCTCTCTGCCTCGTGGCGCTGGTCTGTGGACCTAGCTAAAAATGGATGGATGAAAGCGATTTTCCTAAGGCTTTCAATGAGCTGGCACAGACGCGATATCACAAAAAATACATCTTTTAGGTTATGACCCAAATAGTTTTACAACTATTACCCAGCGCTGAAGCAATCGCAACAAACTACCTTGCGCTGCCTCCTCGTGTCACACAGCAACCCAAACGAAAGCCTTTGACAAGCCTGGAAGCCTGCAGCGGTTTTATTTCAGGCTGGTTCACCTTTAAGTGGTCCGGAGAAGCTTTAAATGACCATCGTCTTGTTTTTGCTCGGGTAAGTAGTGAGTTGTGCTACTTGTTCCATGAACTCATGATAATAATGCTATTGCTAATGCTAACAATAACTAGGATCTACTTGTAACTAGATTTTTATGCCTTTTAATCCAAATTTCTGGTGCGTTTGTTTGATTTTAATAAGTTATAAACGCCACGTTACAACACTAAGCTAACTGCTAAAAACATTAGCAAAAATCTTTCTGTGAAATCCTCTTTGGGGCCACTACGGAAATAGCGGACAGACCCTGGTGGGACCCAGATGACTTGCCCATATGTATTCCAAATGGGACCCACCTAGGTGTGCTGTTGGGCCTCTCTACTAAGAGACTGCTGCCCCCATGACCCGGGGGGATAAGCGGGAGAAGATGGATGGATGAATGAATTAATGAATAAATGGAAAGAAGGATGGAAGGATGGATGGATGAATTAATAGACTGATGGAAGGAAGGAAGGACGATGGAAGGATGGATGGATGAATGAATTAATGGATAGATGGAAGGAAAGATGGATGGATTGATTAATGGATAGATGGAAGGAAGGATGGATGGATAGATGGAAGGAAGGAAGGAAGGAAGGAAGGAAGTGTTGGGGTTATTAGGAGCGAACAATTTGTAAGCTTTAACTTACTTTTGGATTCTTCAATAAATTCTGTAAATATGGGAATATTTACTGATTTATTAATTAATTAAGATATTCTTAGATATACGGGGCACCATTCCCCTTTAACCGGGGAAAAATTGAATCCAAAACTCTTATCAGTCTTTCTTGAAGTTCGTAGAATCCTTGGAGCAGAGACTTCTCTTCGACACAACAAAGCTACTGGAGACGAAAATCTGAATTTTATAACGTTTAATTAACAATTTGTCAAATGAATAAACAGTGGCATAAATGAATAATAACCATGTGATATAATAAAAGGATGTATATTCAAAATAATGTTCAAGGTGTTTTGTGTGTATGTATGTGTGTGTGTGTTTCTAAAATGGAGTCTGTATGCAAGATGGCTGACCCCTTTGTCTGGCTAAAGTGTGAGTGGCAACTAGGGCTGTCGCGGTAACCGCAAAAATGAAATATCGCAATATGAAGAAGCCCACCGCGCTGCATCATGGGCCACCGCGATTACTGAACTTGGTTCAACTCAATGATGCATGTTGAGAAGGATGGCTGCACTGGTATCAACACGAAACGTTACTTCGCTCCTTTGGGAGCACTTTGGTTTTCAGTACGTCAGCTGCTGCGCAGCCAGGGTCCTTGGCCGAGACAGAGCTGCCACCAGCGGCAAAAAAATAAATAAATGAACGCTCGGAGACCTGCTGAAGTCCCGGACAAGCACTGCTTCTGCAACCGTCCTGAAGAGAGTTTGAGCCGAGCTGGAGCTCACTCGCTACCTGCAGGAGGAATGCATCCACCCTAAAGAAAACCCCCCTGACATGGTGGAGCAACAACCGGGAGAGATTCCCTTTGCTCGCCAGAGTCGCACGCAGGTACGTGTGCGTTAGTGCAACGAGCGCACCTCCGAGAGGGTTTTCAGTGTTGCTGGAAATGTTGCCCCCCCTCTCAGATCCTCTCTCAAACCGTATATGTTTAACATGCTGGTTTTGCTTGTGGGCAACAAGGACGTGACCGAGCTATAAATCACCGTCATTCGTGTGTGAAAGTGAAATGATAGTGCGCGCGCCCCGGCACGCGCGCGCCCGGTACATGTAATTTTTTATGCTTGATTTTAAACAACTAAACAAAATGGGGACTTGTTTCTTATTTGTTAGATGCTGCAGCCAAATTTGCATTTAAAAGTTTAACCTCCTGAATTTTGTTGTTTTTAAGTTCAGTCGGACTCCGACTGTCGGAGAAACAAACGTTACTGCGATCTGTGTTGTTACTGCCCTTTGATCTGCATTCAGTAAAGCGTTATAAAAGAAGGCACGGCAATTTTTAACCTTTTTTAAATGTGTAAACATTATGTTTAGATAGTACTGCAATAAAAAAAAGGGCTGCAATAATATCGCACACCGCAATATTAAGCCACCCTGAATCACCGCAGGGGGAATTCCTCAACCGCGACAGCCCTAGTGGCAACTTGCACTTTAACTTCCAAGGCACTTAGAATCATCAGTAACTTAACCTTAAATCACTCAAAACATTTCAAAGGATCATGAAACAACACAAAGGATTAATCACGAATAATATCTTTTAGTTTAACCACGTGGCCAAGCAGAAAACATTTAAAGATACCAAACAATGATCAATAAGCAGTTTATTTATTCAAAATGACCCGGCGGACGTGTTTTGGGAGCGAAAGAGGAAGACACGAAGCTACTTTTTAAGCAATAGCGCGGTTTTATTGCTTATTCTGGACTATAGAGGAAACGGGAGAAGAAAAGGAGAGAGAGAAATGAGTTTTCTGATCACCAGAAGAGCAAGGCGTCCCCAGCTGTTTGATTTGACGGTTCTCCGTGTTTTCTTCGCAGTTTGGCGTCGTCCGTCGGTTTGATGCTTTCTCCGTTGTTTACCTCCACGAGTGTTTCTCCACGGGCTGGACACAAAGAGAACGAAGTTTCTTTTGTGCTGAGTTTGACAACTTACAGCGTCTCTGAGAGCTGGATGGAGCTCCGCTCGTTCCCAGTCAGGTCCTGATGGAGTTCGAGTGGCTTTGTAGCGGTTTCGTGGCTCAACTTGGGCACTTAGAGCTTCCGCGTGCTCAAGTTGTCGGAGCGTTCGACAAGCGTGTCCTTACCGCCAGGTATCCTGGGCAAAAGAACGAGGTTTCTTTGTCTCATTCATGATTTATAGTCTTTGAAGTCGCGGGAAAGCTGTCCAAGCTCCCGCCTCCCGCAGATCGTGTTTCTGGTATTAGGCGGTGACGTCATCACAATGCTTCCGTGTGCAAAGCATCATGGGAAATGAAGTTTCTTGGCGCTGATGTGATTATTTGCTTTTCAGAGCAATTTAAGCACAGTCATTTTGGAGAAAATCACTGCATAGTAATTTCCTCATGAGGTCAGACCCTCAACAGAAGGAAGGAAGGAAGGAAGGAAGGAAGGAAGGAAGGATGGATGGATGGATGGATGGATGGATGGATGGATGGATGGATGGATAGATGGAAGGAAGGATTGATTAATGGATAGATGGAAGGAAGGATGGATGGATAGATGGAAGGAAGGAAGGAAGGATGGATGGATGGATAGATGGAAGGAAGGATGGAAGGAAGGATGGATGGATAGTTGGAAGGAAGGATGGATAGATGGAAGGAAGAATAGAAGGATGGATGGATGGATGAATTAATTAATGGATAGATGGAAAGAAGGATGGAAGGATGGATGAATTAATAGATCGATGGAAGGAAGGATGATGGAAGGATTGATTAATGGATAGATGGAAGGAAGGATGGATGGATAGATGATAGATGGATAGATGGAAGGAAGGAAGGATGGATGGATAGATGGAAGGAAGGATGGATGGATAGATGGATGGATAGATGGAAGGAAGGATGGATAGATGGAAGGAAGGATGGATGGATAGATGGAAGGAAGGAAGGATGGATGGATGGAAGGAAGGATGGAAGGATGGATGGATAGATGGAAGGAAGGAAGGAAGGATGGATGGATGGATAGATGGAAGGAAGGATGGAAGGAAGGATGGATGGATAGATGGAAGGAAGGATGGATAGATGGAAGGAAGAATAGAAGGATGGATGGATGGATGAATTAATTAATGGATAGATGGAAAGAAGGATGGAAGGATGGATGAATTAATAGATCGATG